AGGGAAACTTTGCGTAGTTGCTTGTGTATTAAAAATGCCATCATCTTCACTAGAGTGGTAATATTAACAGATTCATAGAATCGTTAGAGTCATCAACAGAAAACTGAGGTATGATATTCCCAGTTACAGGAAGCAGAGGCTCGTGAGAGTTAATGGGAGACTGTGGAGGCTCCAAGGGAAAATTAGGTAGGCAAGGTGAGTTACCCTGGGAAAGTTCCTGTTCAACAGGATCAGCTTCAATAGCGGGAGAGTAGGCACCAATTTCTGGAGCATTGTTATTGTTCAGGTGTTGACTTATCGGTTGAGGGGAGTTGACAACCTGGGTATGCGGGGTGGGGCATCCCTGGGCCAGGGATGACTTAGGCTTATTTTTAGATGTAGAGTAGGATACATACTTCTTGTTATGAGAAGGCTGGATCATAATAGCCTTCACATTTTCTGGGATAGTGATGGGAGTGATCCCATTAGCCATTAACAGATCATTTAAAACCTGAGAGCAGAGTTGAATGTCACCACCTGCTATGTCTTTGGCCATCATATACATTAGTTGTGCTCTCGTCATATCCCCGGCTGTGGATACCTGAGACATAGGAGATGAAACTGAACCTTGTTGTTGCATTTGTGTATGTTGTAGGTGGGGCGCTCCAAGAGGGTCAGAATTCCAAACATTGGAACCATTGGTAGAGACCTGAGGAGTCCCACTTGATCCAGGCAGAGCGGGGAAAGGGAAGTTTGGGACATCGTTGGCGGTGCCTGGGGAGTGGGCTTCTTAGAAGTGGACAGTTTCTTGGCTTCAATAATTTTCTCTATTTCCTTTTTTCTTTCAGGACAAATAGCAGAAACAGCATGATGTTTTCCGTTGCAGAGGACACATTTGGGTGTATTTTTATTATTACAATCTCGATAAGAATGTTGACCAGAGCAAATGCTACAAATCTGCCCTTGAGTACTGCAATTGTTGGTGTTATGACCAAAGGCATAACATTTAAAACATTGTGTCACACTGACAAATCGTTCAAGAGAGATTTGGTCAGGTGTACATCTGGTGCCAAAACATTTGAAGCCATTTTGACACACAAGTTTGGCCTCCTCAGGTGTCTCAAGTATTAACTTTAAGGTTACCTTGTTGTTGTTTGTTTTAGAGAATTTATGTGCTTCTACAGCCCTAAATTCAGAATTCTCTGTATTAAAGTCCTCTACAATTTCATTCGCTGCGCTATGTTTCATGAAACTGTTGATTCTGGCCACAAACACAGTCCTCTGAGCTTGATAGCTCTCAGGTGCAACTGGGGTAACACCAGAAGTCTTCAGTTTTTCAAGGACATCATGCTTCAGCAGTTGAAGTAACTCTTCTTCCAAAGAGAGGAGAAGTACTGCTCCAGCGTGGGTTTGAAAAACATCCACTGGAGCAACAGTTGAGTTCGAGCAAATACATGCTAGAATTTCTTTCATCGACATTTGATTTCCATCAATACATAATCTTACTCGAATCCTCGCCATGATGTCTAGGAAGGAACATCAGGCAGAGGAGTTTCTTAACAAAAAGGGAACTTTCTTTAATGTTATACTAGCATCCTATTTCAGCTGACTTATGAAGGTCAGCCCCTAAGATAGCCTACCCTCGAGTGGTGAGGGGAAAGGGCCCAAGGCAAAGATCGGCCGGATTTTAAAAAAACACACGGGCTACCGGATGGTCAAAATGCCTTGTGTTAACTCGCCAAAGCGAAGTTGCCGAAAAAGAAGAAGATAGGAAAGTCAGAAGGATAGCAATGTATGTAGTGTGTCAGTGTGTGGGCCAGTGTTGATGTTTGGGTGAGGGGAGGATGGGGAAGGATGGGGATGAGAGGGGTGAACAAGCAAGCAAGTCACCGCCTTACCCTCTTGATGGGATGGGGCTCGAAGTGACTGCAAGCAAGTTTCCTCTCAGCTCTGGTGAAGAACTACTCAGGATAACCCAAGAAAAATCTCGAGCAACAGTGTTCAGAGTTGCTCAGCTGAAGAGCAGGAACGACGACGTCTTCTCTCCACGGTGGCTGGGCTGCTTCTCTGTTGTCAAGGTATAGGCCTAGGAATTTGCCCTCATTATGTCTGGTAATTGGAGTGTTGTCGATCTTAATGTTAATTTGCGCAACTCCTGCTCTGCTACCAAACATAATATAGATGTCAGTGTTAAGCGTAAGTTTATTGGCTGTCATCCAAGTCGATATTTTGATCAGCTCCTCGTTAACAATGGTGTTGAGGGTGGCAAGATTAGGGTGAGAGATGACATAAGTCGTGTCGTCAGCAAAGAAAATGGGTTTCAGGTGTTGGGATACGTTTGGAAGATCATTGATGTATATTAGGAAGAGCAGGGGACCAAGGACACTTCCCTGCGGAACTCCAGTATCAAGTGGTCGTGTTGTTGATGCTGTGTCTTTAATGGTGACATACTGATACCTATTAGTAAGGTAAGATTTGAAATATGCAAGCGCATGGACTCTTATACCGTAATGGTCAAGTTTGTGGAGTAGGATGCCGTGGTCTACTGTGTCAAAAGCTTTTCTTAGGTCAATAAAAATTCTTAGTGGATATTCCTTATTTTCCAATGCTGTGTAAAGCAGATCTAGCATTTTTATGATTGCATCATTAGTGCTTTTATTTTTCCTGAATCCAAATTGGCAGGGGTTGAGTATGTTTTGTGCCGTTATAAATGAATATAGTCTCCTGTGCACGAGTATCCGTCATAGAACTCTATAGGTTTGTGAGATATTACGAGAACAGGCACAGTTACAAGGCCTCTGGTACCTGGCTGTTTGATAGATTACCATCAAAGAGGCAATCAAGGAATGTGAAAGGCGAAGACAAACACCAATGATTTTTTGAGTACCTGTATATTCCCACCACCAATATTAGATACAAATGTGTACAATATTTACAATGTATTCATTAACTCGGCAGATATCATTTGATGGATTGTGTTACAAGAGCGAAAAAGAATGAGTACGCTTGCTGGCAGTAGTTCATATACAACGATAAATCTCAGCATGTGTTAATCAGCCAGCAGCTAGTGAGAGACTGAATCTCCAGACCTGAGTGTAAGTATAAAACCAGCTAGTCTGGAGTTCAACCCTTCACCCTTATTGGTTGATATTTATAACTGTTAGTTTATCCTCGATATAGGGATGGGGTCCTGACACCTTAACGACAATAACTTTCGGTTGTTAAGTGACTATGGGGGGAAATGCAGAATGTGTCGTTGCGTGATAAACACAGAATAAAAGTGACTTAGTACACGCATGACACAAGACTTATATATATTTTTAAGTGAATGGTGATTTTCTGTAATAAATTGACCCCTCCATTTCTAAGTGTTCGACTCACATTTCTATGATTATCTCTTCCAGTACCTTGGGCAGTATACATGGCCTATAATTCAGTGCTTTTTGTCTGACTCCATCTTTATATACTGGGACCATATTTGTAGTTTCAGAGCTGTCTAGTTATTTTCCCCTTTCTAGTCATACGGAACAAATCTTTACAATAGACACATTCAGGTCTAGTTAGTTAGTTTAATATGTTTATTATGCACCCCATATCCATCCTGTGGGCGGTAGTCAAAAGATTACAGAGGTACATAATTGGTCCAGGGACTGGACTCCGAAGTTTTGATAGCTGAGCAAGTTACAGAGGTAATGAACTCACAATTTACAAAGGTAATGAAGCTCACAATTTACAAAGGTAATGAACTCACAATTTACAAAGGTAATGAACTCCAGGTAATCTGGTCACAATCATGACAAGTTACAAAGTATTTACAGATTACAGAGGACGTACTGGGTTCAGGGACTGGGCCCCCAAAGTTTTGATGATCTGAACCAGGTACAAGTGGTTATGAGGCTCACAAGTTACAAAGGTAATGAATTCTGTAGAATTTGGGTTTTTAGTTTTACTTTTGGCTACAATCATGAACAAATTATAGAGTAATGGAGCAATTCACACTTCCACACCGGTCACAACTGTAATGAGTTATTGGTGGCAAATATTGATTGAGTCACACACACCACATCACACACACACACAACACCACAACGCACACACACATCACACACACACACACACACACACACAGCCACTTTTTAGTTTAATATCTTTGATGCACCCCATACCCATCCTGTGGGCGGTAGTAAAAAAATTTTTTTGGGGGGGGAAAAAAAAAAGGGGGGGGGGGTTTTTCCATTGTTGTTAATTTTTTATGGATACGTCCGTGTGGTGGTAGTGAAAGATTACAAAGGTATTTGGGTTTTTGGCGAAGGAGTGGCGGGAAGTTTGAGGGTGATCCAGTTTGTATAGGTTTTTGTATGACTACTTCTTTAAATGGTACTTGCTTAAGATACCCTACGTCCACTGGTCACAATTTGGTTTATAATACATTAAAGTGGATCATACCCACACTAGATCGGCTCCAAACTACACACGCCACCACGGCATGAAACAACTCAAATCTACACACAGCCAACACCCACACACACCCCAACACACAGTCCAATACCAACATCACCCTTCCCACCCACATCTAAATTCAAACGTTACATGCCACCCCTACTCACCCCCCAAAGTCGACAGTTAAACCATACCCCACGCACACACCCACCGGACACTTTAAAACCCTTGCACTCTCAGCTTCACGAACCTTGCAGAGGTCCAAATCCCAACACCGGCACAACTAACGTACAACACTAAGTCATTAAACAATGCGGTTTCCAACCCCAGGCGCACAACGAGCAGGTTGGAGTTGAGTTGCCTAGGAATCCTTTTAACTCACCCAACATTCTTGGATTTGACCCCTACCCCACTACACCTACTCCCCTTCTTTCTCCATTCCCCATACTTCTCTCATTTGAACTCCTCACTCGCTCTCTCCCCTTCCAACCCTCTATCTCCCATGTCTCCCCCTCATTCTTCTCTCCCTTCCTCATCTCCAAACGCTCTTCTTCTACCTCTCACCTATCTCCTTCACTCCCCTTCCATCCTAGTCCTCCCCTCTTCACGTTTCACCCTCTCTCTCTCCCCCCTGGCTTTCACCTCGCTTACTCTTATTCTGCTCCTCGTCATTTCTGCTTCCCTGCTTTACACTCTTACTAGTTACTTTCCTACTTCCCCTTGCTCTTTCTTCAACCCAATTTCCCTTTCTGTCCCCTCCTGAACTCCTGTCCTGTCCACCTTCTTCCCCGATTTTCGACATGTCTCCCCTCCTTTTCTGTTTCTTTTTTTTAATCATGTTAGGACAAGGTTAGATCCTGGGTATGAAAGTAAAACTTAGGATTCTAATTTTTGACAAGTAGACTTTAAAGTAGTCAAACATTGAAACCTTTTATGTATGAAAAACAATAGAAGAGGATGAAGTTGACATAGGGCGACATTTTAGTTAAGCGATCTTTGCATCATAAGTGAATGGTGTTCCGACGAGTCCTGTTATATACCGTCCCTCCTTGTTTTCCTTCTCCCCCCTTTTCCCCCCTTTTTTTTTTTTTTTTCCCCCCCCCCCCCCTTTTGTTTTTTTTTGGGGGGAAAAAAAAAAATTTTTTTTTTCCCCCCCCCCCACACGAGGGGCACGCACGGTCATGTTGCACACGAGCGTTCATAATATATGCTTTCTCATATTGGTATCCTTCAACCACTCACTCTCACACAAATCTCTTCACTCCTAACATCAATCATCACTCTCAACACCTCTCTATCTACACATACTAATCTCTACACCGCTCTCTCATCCCATCTCACACACTCCACTCTCACTACTACATCACACTACTCCTCTCACACGCACTCCGAACCCCTCACTAACGCACTCAAACTACCACACTCGAACCTCACAATACTCTCTCGCAACTCTCTATCTCTAAACCAACGCCCTCCACAACATGCTCACACACCAGAATCTATCACTCTCACACACTCCACGCTACACTCTACCTAATCAAACTCACACAATCTATTTTAATCTTATGAAGTGATCTCTCTATCACGTACGACGCGATAACTTCTCTTACACTCTGGGGGAAGGGTGAGGGGGAGCAGGTTCACCTGCTTTAATATTAGGGGGGTGGGGATATATGAGGTGAAGGGGTAGGGGTAAGACGATAAATAGGTACGTAAATATGTAAAAATGAGAAAGTAAGGGGTCAAGAAAGGGAAAGATGTTAAGGAGAGAAAGAAAAAGTAGACGAGATAGATAGAATAGAGAGAGAGAGAGGGAGAGAAAGAGAAAAGCTAAACGAGAGAGGGAAAAGAAAGAGAACCCATAACTAAAAGAGTAAGAGAGAAGTCAGAAGAGAGAGAGAGAGAGAAGAGAAGAGAGAGAGAGAGAGAGAGAGAGAGAGAGAGAAGAAGAAGAAGAAAAGAGAGAAGGAAAAGAAGCGAGAGGAATAGAGAATGAGAGAACAAATAATAAGAATTAAAAGAAGGTAAAAGTAACAATAAATCACAAAAAAAGAAAATAATAGAAAAGAAAAAATAGAAAGGAAGGAAAAACGAGAAAAAATAAGATAACGTAAAAAAAAAAAAATATAGAAAAGAAAGCAGAAGAGAAAAAATAGAAAGAAGAAAAAGACAGATAGAGGATAGGCGAATGTAAAAGAGAAAACGAGTCCGAAAGAAGAATAAGGATGAACAACAAGAAAAAAAAGAAAAATAGTAGAGAGAAAGAGGGTATAAGACACAACAGCAAAGTAAGGGAAAGCAAGAAAGAAGGAAACCCACGAAACAACAGTCTAAAGTACGAGATAGACAGAGAGAGTGAGGAAGAGGAGAAGAAAAGAAGAGAAGGAAAGACAGAGAAAGTGAGAGGACGGAGCACAGAACAAACGCCGGAGAGAGAAACAGAAACCACACGAAAAAAAACAACCCAACAACACACCGAAATTCACAAAAAAGAGCAGAACAGAGAGCGAAAGAGCAGAGAAAGAAAGCGCAACGAGAGAGACGACGAGAGCCAGAGAGGAGAAAGAGATAGCCAAGAGAGTGACAGAGAGCTCACGACTAGTGACCACGCTAGACACCAGCGCGCTCCCGCGCGCCCTCTGAACCCTGCCATCTCTTTTTTGTTTGTTTTTTTTTTTTTTTTTTTTGTTATAATTTGGGTTGGTCATAAGGTTAGGATCACCTAGCTTTTTTGACATGATATTTTCTGGTGGTTGGTGGCACGTTCTGGATTGTCATAGCTTTGTAGAGGGGTGACATCTGCAAGATGCTGGGGTTCTGATGGTTGGGGGGGGGGGCGTGGTGACAGTTAATTTATTGTGTGGGGGATCTGGTTGTAGGGGGGGGTGGTGCCTGATGTTGGGCAAGAAGGGGGATGGGGGATTGGTAGGTTGAGAGTGGGTATGGGATGCGGTGGAGGATTATCGTTGGGGGGGAAATGGTAGAGTGGATGAAGGGGGTGGGTGGTGAGAGAGAAAGTAGAGAGAGATGTGAGAGCGCGCAGAGAGAAAGAGAGAGAGCGAGAGGAGAAGTAACAGGAGGAAAGAGAGAACACAAGAGAAGAGAGAAGAGAGAGAGAGAGAGAGAGAGAGAGAGAAGAGAGAGAGTGAGAGAGAGAGAGAGAGAGAGAGAGGGCGAGAAGAGAGAGAGAGAAGAGATGAGAGAGAGAAAGAGAGAGAGCATGAGAAAGCGAGAAAGAGAGAGAAAGAAGGAAAAGAGAGAGAAAGCTGGAGAGAGAAAGAGAGAGAAAGAGATAAGAAAGAAGACGAGGAAGAGAGAGAAAAGGAGAGAGGACAGAGAGAGGAGAAAGAGAGAGAAAGAGAGAGAAAGGAGAGAGAAAGAGAGAAGAGAAAGAGCAAGAGAGAAGAACAGAGAGAAAGAGCGAAAGAGCGAAAGAGAGAAAGTAGCGAGAGAGAGAGAGACACGAGAGCGAGCGAGAAAAGGAGGAAGAGAGAGAGAGAGAGAGAGAGCAGAGAGAGAGCGAGAGGAGAGAGAGAGAGAGAGAGAGAGAGAGAGAGAGAGGAGAGAGAGAGAGAAGAGACACAGAGAGCGAAAGCAGAGAGAGAGAAAGAGAGAGAGAGAGAGGGAGAGAGAGCTAGAGAGAGAGAGAAGAGAG